TTGTAGCAACTTTGGATATATCTGGCTATATGAAAGATCTTTTGATCCCACTTTCTCCTTGTCGTTATTATGATCATATTGAAAACCTTGTGGTTGACCACTGGAACGTTCGCTTTGAAGGCTTAACGTTTGACCAACATCTTGGGAGAGACATTGATTTGCAGATCTCCCTTCATCGACAAGTTTTGAGCTTCCGGGGAGCTTAGGTTTTCCATTTTTAAAGTATAACAACCCTTCAGTGATGAAGTTTTGAACTTTAAATCTCAGGATCGTACAATATTCTGTAGAGTGGCTAAACTCTTGAAAATGATAGCCGCATGATTTCTTGACACCTTGCCAGTCTGGACGCAAATAAGTATTGTGCCTCAGAGGAAAAGGCTTTAGAAGCCCACTTTTAAAGAGAAATGATAACAAGTCTGAATATGAGATCGGAATCGGAACCATAGGTGTCCTCTTCTTCTTCTTTCTATTCTTTTTGGCCTTCTTTGCTGGAACTTGAACCTCCTCTATGCCTCTTTTATTTGAGTCCGGCTCCACTTTCGTATTAGAAGTTTCACCCTTAACTTCTGCTTTTCCCAGTATGATCTCCGTAGCATCTTCTGAAATCTTACTTGATTTTTGGAGTTGACTTGAATTACCACATCCCCTAACAGGTTATTGATCAGTTGTTATCATCACATTGGCTGCACCACTAACATTCAGATTCTCACCCGAAGTCTTCATCTGTTCTTGATCATTTGCTATCATCACATTGGCTGCACCACTAACATTCAGATTCTCACCCGAAGTCTTCATATTTTCTTGTGTAATAGGGTCATCTGATGATTTCTCCCCATATATCATAGTAATCATCATGCTCATCAACTTGGACATTTGTCCCCTGGATTCAACTTGGAACTTCCTTGCTTCATCAATCATTTCTTGTTGGGTCCTTACGAGCTGTTCTTGAATTTTCTCGATCTTACTAACTCGTGCTAAGATCTCTTTCATTGTTCTCTATCTTTCCAGAAACACGTCTCAGGGTAACTTCAATTTGCTTTCAGAGCTTCTGCCACATCACCCTTCACGAGTTACTCTCATATTTTCATGATTGATGCATGTAAAAATGCTTAAATTAAAGCGATACGAATGCAAATGTGGATGCAAAAATGCAAATGCAAAAGGTGTTAATCCCAAAAGTGACCACTATAGAACAACCTTCATTTAGACAACAATATTTCATTACACCATGTAATCAAAATACAATTGTGATTTTTCATTTCCTTGAACCATACTCTTCATGGAATCTGGCATTGCATCTCCAAAATGGTCGGCGTATTTTATCACATTTGATGAAATCGATTGTCCTTGAATTGAATCTTGGGATCTCCATCTCCATTTTCAATGGAAAGTGCTCTTCACGTCTTTGTGAAGGGTCTTCTCGTCCTTGGCATTACTGCATCTATCTCCTCAGGGAACATCTTCAGGATGGCTTTCTTTGTAGATCGGTCTTCAATCAGTTTCAAATTTCTTCATTCATTGGATGTCCTTCTTCATGAATCGTTCTTCAGTCAGGTTCAAATTTCTTCATTCATTGAATGTCCTTCTTCATGAATCATTTGAACGCCTCTGGATCTCTCGATTTTGATTACATGGTTAAGAATTTCTTGCCTCATTATGACCAGCCTTCTTATTAGTCAATCACTTGCGAATTAACACTTTTGGATGACATGAAGATGCAAATGCAATAAATCTCAAAAATAAAATAGATATAAAACAAAGAAATGGGTTAATACTCATAAGATAAACAACAAGATAGTAAGTACCGCAAACTTCAAATAAAACCTACCCTCACATGCTGACTACCCAATCATGCTTAGTAGATCCTACCCAACATGAGATCTACCCCATGCTTTTGTTATTTGCAAAAAATCCTAACCGCATGATATCTAATTCACATGCTTGTTCGAGAAAATAAACCTAACCGCATGATATCTAGTTCGCATGCATTTATTCGAAAAATGAAAATAAATGACTAAAAAAAACTTTTCCTTGTGTACCCTCCTCACGGGATTCTTAAGGTTCAGGTTTGGCTCGACCTAAGATCAAGCTCTATGTTCACTATATGCTGGGTTCGGTTTTAAAGTAATAGGTTCTCGAATTATCCTTGCCGGTGCCCCCTTGGGCTGCCGAACCCTCAATCTTGACCCATCACAGGCTTTAGGGGATCGAGTTCAATTTCGAGGGAACACACCTCCTTATGTCCATGCGGAGGTGAATACCATCATGAGGACCATAAGGCGTAAGCTCCAGGAGCGATCCACTATCCCATACGGAGGTGAAAACAACACGAGGGCATAGTCTCTCACTCCTACATAATTAGGATGGAGCGGGGTTTTAGCTCATGTCATGATAATGCAGTTGTGCAGTGTGTGAGGAAAAGCGAAAAAAACAAACAATAAAAATACTCAAAATTAATTCCCAAAACACACAATTATTCTGAAACCATTAGCAAACAGATTAGTACAACTATTTAATTGTCAATCGAATTAAATTAAAGAAATCAAAATACAAACAAAACTTATTAAAAACCAAACAAGGGATCAAAAACCAAATTAAAGCGAATTTATAATTTTCAATTGCAAAGACAATTAATTAATCGAGTATCGGCCTGACTCTCTAAAAATGTCCCTAGTGGAGTCGCCAAACTGTTGAAACGATTTTTTTCTTAAAAGGGAAAAAAGTGAGATTTTAAAAACCACATCAATTTTTAATTTATCTCTTTCAATTGATTTTTAATTTAAAAACAAATACGATTTAAAAGAACTCTCGTTTCGAAAAATACGATCAAAGAGTCGCCACCAATCTTTGATTAGGGTGTGATTGGGCACCCAAAAATGCTTTGTCATTTTAAATAAAAATTAATTTTAATTAAAACAACAAATTGAGGTATGCGTTACCAAAAAATGAGTTCGGGAGTCGGTTACGTGTGGGGAAGGATTAGCACCCCACAACGCCCTAAATCGGTACCTAGTCGATTAATTAACGTCTTTGCAATGAACTTTACAAATTCGAACTTAATTTGGCTTTTGATCCCGTAAAACAAAGAAGTAAATTTAAAAACATTCAAAAGCACTCAAATAAATTAAATTAAAATTACGAGTCATTTTAGAAAGATAAAGAATGTTCGATTATTTACAAATATTGATACCACATCTTAAAAGTTATAACAACATTTTCTCGATAAATTTAAATACCCGAACAATTCTTTTTCTTCCATTTCCAAATTTTAAAGTGATGGATCAATTTTTAGGTTTCACTAATGGGATACACTTTTATTTTGAAATCATTAAAAGCATACCTTAAATCAATTATGACATTCCACTTAAAATAATTTTAAATTAAAATCATATTACCTTTAATCCAATTATATAATATGTCGAGTTATGCAAATGAAACTATCATGCAAATTATGCAAAAAGTGGATGTCATGCCAAAATTAATTAAACAAAATTAAAAAATATCATACAACGTGACATACAAAAATTATATACATACATTTTAAAATTAAAAATTATAAACTATGCATATTAACATATAATGTACAAATGTGACCTAAATATAAAAACAAAATCATAACATGCTAAACTATAAATTTAAAAAAGTGTATATATACATGTTAAAATAAGGACTAAGTTTAAATACACATAAAATTAAACATACTAATTAAAAATTAAAATATGGATCTAAATGAAACATGCACATAAATGAGGGATCTACACCCAAATAATCTAACAAAATTATAACTAAAACTAAAAACTAGAAAATGACTAAATTAGGACAAACATAAAAGGTTAATTCAAAAACAGACTTTACAAGTGACTGAAGTGCAAAAACGATAAATATAAGAAGACTAACCTAGTTTTATCTCTGTATACGGTGACCAAGAAATAATTAACCCGAAATTACTAGTATATATATATATATATAATAAACTAAACCTAATATTAAACTAAACCTAATAGCCGTATATCATACTCCTCTCACCCTCTACTCTCTCCCCATCTACTCTCTTCCTCACGCTTTTCTTTTCAATGGAAACCACGGGCTAAAATCCATGGCCACCTCTGCTTCATTCTTTGACAAATCTTGCAGAGAGCCTCCATTAGCAGGTAAATCTAATTGTCCATTTTTTTCTTTAAAACCAAATACACATGTGTTATAAAAAATGAAGATGTAAGCCTTAAAGAATGGATTTTTCCTTGCTTGATAAAATATAGATCTTTGTTATGCATCGTAATTACCTTTTTTATTCAAATGGTTGCCCCATAATATTTTTAATGGATTTTTTAAAAAAATTCCTTTGTAGTTTTTCGATTCACTCTCTGGCTATTCACTCTAAAAAATCGACCCCTTTGATCTATGTCTAAAATCAGGACTCCAAAACACATGCACGACCTAGTACTAACTCCAAACTCCTAAAAATCTACAGTTACCTTCTCGGACCGATGAAACTGACGAAGTTGTCTATTCTCCATGACCAAAATTTGATTTAAAGGTAAATAACGTACTCTATTTTTTCATTTCTCATTTGTTTCGAAATAAACACATACAAACTGTCAACACACTAGGAATCAAGAAGTACAAGAAATACCTCAAAAGAATCTCTATTGCTTTCTAAGAAGATGGGGAAGTCCCGTTACACAGCCTTTGTTTGAATGCTTCGTTGTGTAAAAAAAACGAATGGGAAAACAATTTTTTTGTGCTTTTTATCACAATGGTCTCCGATTCCTCTTTCTTTTTTCTCTGTGTAATCTATTATGTTCTCTCTGTAATTTCCCCCCCTTTTTTTCTGGTAGTTAATTATCATGTGGCCTGCTCTGTTGGATCATTGGATTAGGCCTCCAACTGGTTTCGGTTCTTCTTTAAGCCCACCATTGCTTCGGGTCTAATTCGACTTAACCTCGGACAAAAACGAGCATCTACACAACTATAAATGGCGGGGTTCAAAATGTACCAACCTCAGCGTTCAAATCAATAACTATCCCCAAAGCTTCTAATACATCAGCACTGCCGCAGGCAGAAGAACTTGATCGGTTTCCTTGCTGCAGCACAAACAATCAAACATTTGAAGTATGTGATAGTAATAGCATGGCATTAAATTTTGCATCCATAGGCCCATCAATGATAAAGAAAGAGAAAATAACTTTAAGATTGTGACTGAGTGACCTTGGCAACTTTTGCACCACAAGCAGCAGCCAATATTGAGGCACCTGTTGAAATATTCACGCTGTTTGCTCCATCACCACCCGTTCCAACAATGTCAACGGCATCATTTAACCCTTCTACCTTCAAAGCATGTTTTAGCATTGCCCTTGCCAATCCCGCAACTTATACAAAAACGATATTAGAGGCCACTGCCGGTCTTTTTAATCAGATCATCGCCCCATTCAAATAAAAATGGGGGAAAATGAACCATTTGCATGTAAATCACTTAATTTTCTTTAGAATGGCAAGAAATTTGTTAATAAGGAACTTACTTCTTCAAAAGTCTTGCCTTTGGCTCTCAACAAAACAAGGAAAGCACTAATCAAAGCCTCACTAGCTTCAGTTAACAAAAATTCCAGAGACGACTCGGCCTTGGACTCCGTTAAGTCAACGCGTTTGATCAAACACTCAATCAACTGAAACCCCCAAAAAAAGAATGTGTTAATTCTAGATGATTTTTGAAGACCCCCCAAAAGAATTTTCTTACCTCATTAATTGAAGCTATTGATGAACTTGGATTTCCACGCGCACTGGGCAGAGCAGATACAGAAGTAGAGTCAGAAACAAGTGTGAAACGACTATGGTTCAAGAAAGGGACAATTGTTGAGGTACTAACGAGAAGTTTAGTTAAAGGGCAGCTCCGAGTAAATGAAGAGAAAGAATGTAGAAAGGGCTGCTGCAGAAACAGTGTTGTCGCCGTTGCTCCGAAACGCAGAGCAATTAAGTCAAACGCAATGTTTTGCAAGAGTTGGGTCATGGGTGATTCTGCTGCGCGACAATCATAAATAACATTTTTTAAGTTGAATATAGTTTAAAATATTATATTTTTTATATATTTTTAATTGAATTTAACATGTAAACCAAAAATATTATTAAAAAAGAAATATTTTTAATTTAATTAAAATATTAAGAAAATAACATTTTCGTTATATTTATTCTAAAATATTATAATTTTATTAATTTTCAATAACATCTAAAACTATTATTTTTAATCTTAAATCAGGCTGTCACTATTTATATTTCCCATAAGAGGTAATTTTTTGAAATTTTAACCTTCTCGATTGATAAGAATTGAAACTAGCCAACGGACTTTTATATATATATATATAGTTTAATCACGGGGAACAATGGGGGATAAGGAGACTGTAGAAAAATCATGAGTGGGGCTGAAGCTGATATAAATTTATTTCAAGAAATGGAGCATTTATTATTTCCAGGAATTTGTGATCCATTCACAGGGGAATTATTGTAGGAAATACGTATTAATATACGATTAAGAAATGACGTGATCGAAAATTTAATAAGATACTTAATAAAATCGGTTTAACGCTACAAGAAATATTGAGTAATAATAATATTGTAGGTGAAAAATATGAAGAAATATTAAAAAATTTGACAACTGGTAAACTTAGCTTATTGAAAGGTATCTATATCGTGCACAGAAGTATCGATATATATAGTAATATTTAAGAAAGTGATGAAAATCGGTTAAAAGTAGACATGTATATACTTTTATATGTATATGTATAAAAGTATCAATACTTTAGTAATTTAAAAAAATACAATAAAAGCGCCTATAAAGTATTAATACCTTACACACATGTATTGATAAATGATAATATAACATGTTAAAATTTGACAAAACAAGTAACAAATTTGACAAAACTGACTGGAAATTGATAAAATCGGTTGAAATTTGAGAAAATCGATAAAGCGCTACTGAAATTGTTGAAATTTGTATCGATACGTTTATAAATATATGTACCAAAGTATCGGTACTGTAGGAATTTAAAAGAAATGAAAAAAGGAAAATTTCTTGAAAGTATCGATTCCTTACACACATGTATCGATACATGATAATATAACATGTTGAAGTTTGACAAAACCAGTTTCAATTTGACAAAATCAGCAAAGAGATACCGATTTGGTTGACATTGGTATCGATACTTTTATAAATATATATACAAAATATTGATACTTTAAGAATTTAAAAAATTCAATAATAATGCCTATAAAGTATTGATACCTTAGACACATGTATCGATACATGACCATATAACATATTGAAATTTGACAAAACCGATTTCAATATGACAAAACTGGTAAAGCGCTATCGGATATGTTAACGGTATCGATACTTTTATAAGTATATGTATCATAATATCAATATTTTAAGAATTGAAAAGAAATAAAAAAAATAAAAACGTCTCGAAAGTATCAATATCTTATACAAAAGTGTCGAGACTTGGGTAATGGTGTCAATTAAATATAAAAACATAACCGGTTAAAATATTAAAGGCATTGCTAACGGAGCAACGACGATGAATCAACGATTTTCACGATGGCGGTGTTAAAAAAATGTCGAAACTTTGGCGTTAGAGAACGTTTCGTTACGAGCGGTTTATAGGATTTTGTTCATCGGTCGACGATGAACCAAACGAGAGTGGTGGTGTAAGCTAAAACGACCGGACGACGACGAAATCGGCTTTGGAAAAAGGGGTGCGGGGAAATGTTTGAGCATTTGTTTATGGTTTTCAACCAGAAAACAAATTGAAAACCAGAAAACAAATTGCACGTATTTAACAAGGATTTGCTGCCGACACTAAATGGGGAAACTCAGGGACCTCTTCCTGAATTTCCTTCAACTTCTAAAACAGCCTAAAAGTTCTTGAAACATTTAATTTAATCCTCAAATTTCACCAAATTGCTTAATTATAATTTTTTTCCGGGTTAAAACTATACTAGAATAAAGTTCTTGCAACTACGGTCGACACATTCAACTCAGATGTCTAAATGCTGGGAATATTTTTTATAAAAATAAAAATAAAAATTGGTATATCTTTCTTCTTCTACAAGGTATAAAACCAGCTGCTCTCAACTTTAAAAGGTACTTGGAACATTTGAATAATACCAAACAAAGAAATTGGTTGCAAGGCTTTTGGCTTCTGCCCTTTTTCTTATTGCTTTAGTTGTTGTTCAACTGGATTCTCCAAGTTTTTGTTTCATTAATCTAATGTTTTGCCAAACTCTAAATAGTGTATTTGGAATCCAATGGTAATAATAATAAATTACCCAAACTAACAGCACCAATACTAAAGTAGCATTCGCAGTCTCAGAAATACCAAACTGTAGTATCATTATTTCACCAGTTGAGTAGACATGACTATTGGCTATCATTGGAAGGAAGACTGCTATTTATTCTCTTCATAAAGGTTTGGACTCAGGCATTGAGATTGACATTAATGGCGCCGACATCTGTGAGGAGATTCACGAGCTGACCTGCTTGATGCTTGGCCATAACAGCTGCAACAAATAAAAGAGAGAAAGAAACAGTATCATGTTATTGTCTGTATTTTTCTCATTCCACAATGGTTTTTATCATCGAGAAAATGAGAAATAACTAGCAACCCTGATAACAAGCAATCAATGAGAAATTGGGCTTACAATCACAGTCCGCAATATGTGCATCTCCAATGAACACATTAGGCACGGTCCTCTGCCCAGTCCACTCAACCAGAGCTGCTTGCATTTCACCACCATCACCTTCAAAAACAATAAAATGTTTTGTGGTAACCAACAATAGTTGTTTGGTTATTTAAAAACAAAAAAAAGTTGCCTTACTTTCTTCATCCAATTCAATGATCTTGTAAGAAGCTCCTAACTGAGTAAGCAGCTGCTTAACCCTTTTGCAATAACCACAATAGGTTTTACTGCAAGGAAGCAAGTTTAGGCTTAGAAATAGAAATCCCCAAATTTGAATAATTAATGGAGGGGAAATGTACCTGAAGACAACAACGGGTGTGGAGGAAACGATGTGTTTGACCTTGTCAAGTGCCATTTGAATATCTTGCTTGTTGGAAGTGAGGATGGCGGTTTATAAATAAAGATGTCTGTTTGGGTGATACCAAGTGTCCAATGGAGATGTTGGTGGCAACGATTGGAGTCTCCAGCTCGCCTGCTTTTGCCAGGCAAGATAAGAGAGGTGGCTACGACAACAACAACAAAAATTCTACTTTCCACCGATTGTTTGACTCATCATCGCCCTAATTAAGCAGATAGAGAGGCTTCTACATCACATTTGGATGGTGGTCCAACCTGAGTCAGGCTTGGAAAATTAAAAACAAATTATGGCAGATTTAACAACACACCCTGGACATGTGCTAGGATTTCTTCATGTTTTGATGCGTTCACACACCACAAATTTATTATTACCTTTGGGTAAATTACATCACTCATCTATTTTGATCATTGAAGCTTAATTTTTTTCAATTTTGTCATTAAACTTTTAAATTATTCTTATTTTAACCATTCTCAGGATTATTTTATTATTATTTTTACTCTAACATGTCAAATTTATTAATATTTAATATAAAAAGTTAAAATGACCATCAAGCTCAGTTGGTAGAACACAAGATTCTTAATCTTGAGGTTGTGGGATCGAGTAAAAAATAATTAAATTTTAATCCTAAAATCAACCCCAACCCCTGAATCCAGCCTCAATTCAAACTTATCCCCAACCCCCACCATAGCAAGGCAAGCTATAACATAGTCTCTCCCAGCCGGTCTTTTACAGGCATAGACATAACGTCCACCGAAAGAAGCAGAGGCACCACCACCTCCCTTCTATTGGTCATCCATCATGCGAGCAATTCATTCTTTCAAGGAGTTCTCTTTCGGGGGGGAAAATAGTAAATTGAGTTTCTTCTTTGTCTGGTCTCCCGTCCGACGCAACTTATGGTCGGTTGTTGAAGAACAGTGAAAGAAGGGAAATGGAAGTATTTGGTGCTCGACTAAGCATGTTGCCATATAGGCTTAATGGATGACGCCATGGTTCTACTCCAAAAGAGGAAACGCCTGACTTCCGCTGTGATAGCATTTGTTGGTATGATGATAGCTTCTCCCTCTTCACCACTATGAACCCATCATCAGACATTTGTATCGCCGCCACAACGCTTCCTTCCACGCCTCCACAGAACCCCACTTATCTCTTCGAATCAGAAAACATTTCCCAGTTTCTCTCCCACATCAAGTTTGTTACGAGTAAAGTACGAAAAATTATTCACTTGTATATCATAAATGAGTTGTACACAATAGTTTATGTAGCTGAAAGAATAAAGCTACTGAGTAACTGCTAACAAACAAAATAACTACATGAAACTAATTACAGTTGCACTGCTCTACACTCCCCCTCAAGTTAGGGGTTGAAAATATCTTTGACCCTTAACTTGCACATCAGATGATAATGCTGTTGAACCCCAAAGCTTTCGTCAGAATATCAGCCAGTTGGTCCCCTGGATCAATCCTTTTTTATTTTTTTCTCTGACAAAATGGCAATTGATCTCAACGTGCTTGGTTCGTTCGTGAAAACCAAGATTTGCTGCCATTTGGAGAGTTGTTTTACTGTCACTAAGCAACTTTATTGGCTTTACCTGCTCTACCCCCAAATTTTCAAGTAAGCTTGTCAACCATACTTCTGCCACTGTAATTGCCATGCTTCTATATTCAGCTTCTGCTGATGAACGAGCGACTGTGTTTTGCTTTTTAGATTTTCAAGATATTAGCGAGTCCCCAAGTTTAATACAAAAGCCTGTGACAGATTTTCTAGTAACTGGACATGTAGCCCAATCAGAATCACAGAAGGCAGTGAGATGCAAATCTTTTGCTGCTCTAAATAACACTCCTTGACCTGGAGGTTTCTTCAAGTACCTTACGACCCTTAATGTTGCCTCCAAGTGTGAAGTTTTAGGCTGTTGCAAGAATTGACTCAAATGCTGCACAGAAAATGTGATGTCCGACCTGGTATGGGTCAAATAAATCAATCCGCCTAGTAATCTTTGGTAGACAGTCTTATCTCCCAGCATTGAATCGCCAGCTGTTTGTTGCAGCCCTTCATCATATTCAACTGTTGTGAGCCTTAAATTCTGTTCTAGTGGAGTGGCAGCTGGTTTGGCTCCCCCTAAATCAGTCTCTTCAATGAGCTCCATGGTGTACTTTCTTTGATTTAGCAAGATCCCTTCTCTTGACCTTAAAACCTCAAACCCAGGGAAGTATTTTAACTCTCCAAGATATTTCATTTTGAAGCTCTGATTCAAAATTGTTTTTAATTCACTGATCATATCTTCATTGTTTTCAGTAATCAATATATCATCTACATAAACTAACAGGGTTACCAACTTATCACCATTCCTCTTCGTGAACATTGAATAGTCAAACTTATTCTGTTGATAACCAGCAGCTAATAAGGCTTCAGACAGCTTCAAATTCCAGTGTCGAAAAGCCTGTTTTAAACCATAAATTGATTTATGCAGCCTACACACTCGACCCTCCCCCTAGTTGCTAAATCTCGGAGGCAATTGCATGTAAACCTCCTCAAGCAGGTCACCTTGAAGGAAGGCATTGTAGACATCCATTCGATACAATGGCCAATCAAGAGCAGCTGCAAGGGCAAGGACAGTCCGAACAGTGACCATCTTGGTGACAGGAGAAAAGGTTTCTGTATAGTCAATACCTTCCCTTTGAGTGAAGCCCTTTGCAACTAAACGAGCCTTGAACCTCTCAACATCACCAGAGGCCTTATATTTCACTCTATACACCCATTTAACCATTGTGGAGGTCTAGAGACTCGACATGATCGTCTTGTTGCAACAGGCAAAGAACTAATTTCTGATGGAACTGGAACAGATGAAACATTAGGAGAAAGAGACTCAGACTGCTGATTAAGTGAAGAAGACACAACAGGAAAAGGAACATTAGTAGAAGAAGAACCAAGACTTTGAAACTGTTGGGTTCTGTGAAGTTTGATAGGAAACAGTAGGAGAAGGGTTAAAAATTCATGATCAGGAACATTTGATTGAGCAGAAAATAAAGTAGAATCAGAATCAGAAAGAAACTTGAAGGGAAATATATTTTCATGAAAAAATACATCCCTATTAACAAAAAGGGACTTGGTATCTAAGTTAAAGAGAATATATCCTTTCTGAGTGGCAGAACAAATACAGAGGGAATGGCTTTTGAGGCAGCCTTATCATGGGAAACAAAAGAAGTTGCATAGCAAAGACAACCAAACACTTTCAAATGAGCAAGACTAGGTTCTTTACCATAAAGCAATTCTAATGATGTTTTCCAAGCAAGAACAGAAGATGGAAGCCTGTTAATGATGTAACAGGCAGTTTGAACACAATTACCCCAAAATTTAAGTGGGAAAACGCAAGGCCCTAGCAATCTCTAATAAATGTCTGTGTTTCCTCTCAGCAACCCCATTCTGCTAAGGAGTGGAAACGCAACTGCTTTGATGAACAACTCCCAACGAGGAAAAGAAATCAGAACAATTGGAATTAAAAAATTCAGTTGCATTGTCACTACTCACATACTTAATGGTTGTGGAAAAAGGTTCTAGATATAAGAAAAATATTTCTTGAGGAATATAACATTGTCAGATTTTAATTTCAAAAAATAGATCCATGTCATTTTACTAAAATCGTCTACAATAGTAAGGAAGAGCCCATGACCAGAATTAGTAAAAACTCGATAGGGACCCAATAGATCAAGATGTATGAGCTGAAAAGGAAATGGAGACCTAGTTTGGCTGATGGGGAAAGGAATCCTAGTTTGTTTAGCTAATGGACAAACATCACAGTGTGAGATATTATCAACAGCAGTTTTATTGGAAGGTAAACCAGCAATTTTATTCATTTTAGTACGTGAAACATGCCCAAGACAAGCATGCCATACAACAAGACTCACAGAATTCAAAGAAGACAGACAACACAAATCAGAACTGGACTTAGAATGATAGATAAAAGGTGAAGACAAACCAGAATAAGCAACTGGTGAAATAAAAATATAAAGACCTCCAACACGTTTACCAATCCCCTTCATCCTTCCCTTTGAGGGATCCTACAGAAGGCAAAAAGTCTGGGTAAAAGGAAACAACACAAGCAAGGCCACTAGTAAGTTTAGAAATAGAGATGAAATTATGTGTGAAGGCTGGAACATGTAAAACATTTTTGATAAAACATCCTAGAAAAAACTCAAAAGAACCAGCATGTGTAACATTGGCACACTGTCCATTAGGTAGATGCACAAACCGTGAATTTAAAGCCCTGAACTAGGAGCAATCAAGCTGTGGAAATCATAACATATGTGGTGGTCAGTAGCCCCAGTGTCTAAAATCCAAGTAAGAGATTTTGTAACAGCAAAACAGTGAGAAAAGGTACCTGCCAGATTAGCAGTTAAATCAATAGAAGCAGGATTATTCAGAAAAGCCAAGATCAGCTGATATTGATCATTTGTGAACACAGGCGAACCAACAAGCGTAGAAGAAACTGGTGCAGGTACTGAAGGCAGGACACGCTGATCATCTGTCACCAAGGAAGCCTGAGACTCTCTCTTCTTGGAAAATTTAAAATCTGGGGGCAATCCTATAAGGCGATAACATTGTTCTTTGTTGTGACCCTTAAGCTTGCAGTGATCCCAAAAGCCATTGAACCGCTCTCTTCTTGGAAAATTTAAAATCTGGGGGCAATCCTATAAGGCGATAACATTGTTCTTTGTTGTGACCCTTAAGCTTGCAGTGATCACAAAAGCCATTGAACCGGCACGATTAGATGAGCCAGAAAATTTTGAATAGAACACAGTGGAGTCAGTAGAGGGACACACCACTAAGATGAGCACGTTGTGATTCCTCTTGAATCACCATGGAATAGGCACGGTTCACAGAAGGGAGGCGGCTGCATCAAAAGGATTTGACTGCGAATGGAAGAGAAAGTCTCGTTGAGACCCATTAAAAATTGAAACAAACACTGTTGAAGCTGATGCTTGACATTTTCCCGAGATGCCTCACAATCACAGGGAGTAAATGGAACAAGGGTGTTGTATTCACCTCAAAGTAGCTTGAGCTTGGTA